CTGTAAAACATCCTGGGCTCAGTGATCGTTGGATACATTTAACCACCCTGGGATAAGGATTATGTCCAACTGGATTAAAATATTGATGGGTTTTGTTGCCTTCTCGTAATTACAAATGCTGCGATCGGTAAATGTAGTAGTTTTCTCATGACTATAATTATAACTATTTTATTATTTACCTAGTATTGTTGAGTTATACATAATCTATATATATAATATATTATATAATAATCGAATGATGTATGTCTTTTCCTGTGTGCGTGCGTGCGTGTGTGTAGGTGTGTGTGTGTGTGTGTTTGTGTGATACTCAATCACATAAAAACTACTGAACCAGCTGGGCTTAAATTTTACAGAAGTTTAGCTACAAGAGCTTAGAACTATACCCGTTTCAATAATTTTTAAGAACTCGTACCCGTAGATATCAACAATAAAATTTGGTGTTGTTAATTCGTAGTTTTATTTACCTGGTAATAAATCGTCTAAGGCCTTTAAATATTGTATATTTAATGGAAACAAACAATATTGGAATAATAAAAGGGTATAACATATTTCGCTATGCCCCAGAAACAAATTTCGGGCCTTATTAAAATGCTCAATTTGCGCACGGGACCCTTCATAATATATTTAAAATCTTGCCATAACATCTTACCATATACAAACGTATTTGTGTTTACTATCGTATATTATTTCGTTGTCCTGGCTAATTTTAGCGAATTTCCCTATAGAGGAGTAGCTATTACCGTATGTGGCACCAATTTACTTTTTCATTTTGTATTCCCAGAGGCCTAAACATAATTCGTTAAATTGTTTATATATGTATGTGTGTATATATATATATATATGTGCGTGTGTCCGTGAACGCGATAACTTGAGTATTTTTTGTCAGATTTAGATGAATTTTGATTTAAAGGTGTAAGATGGGAATTAATATTTAAAAAAAAACACACTTAATTAGTTTCCTTGTAGCAGCAAACCTAGGTACTCGTTAAACCTAATGTTATTTAAATAGACTTAATTGAAAATCAATTAAGACAAATGGAAATTCACTTACTCGGCAGGTTTGCTGCGGTGGGGGTATTTTTATATCATTTATCAACAACCGTTGTTCATTATTGTCGATTGATAAAAAAAAGTTTAACCAGTATGCATGCATTATAGTTTTGTAAAACAACACTACGGGTAAAGTGTTAAGTACAATATTTTATTGTTCAAACTGCTTATGCAACTCTGCTGGAAAACGAGTTGGAAAGATTCAACCAAGAAGATTGTAATTTCAATACATGGAAACTGTTTATATGTAACGAAGACTTCTTTAACGAGAATACTTCAGAGAACTTAAGCGAATCATTTGTCCATGTTGCGGTGTGAACTGGTGAAAGGTGATCACATGCTCGCCATCCCAAGGTTGGGGCTCTAAATTGACAGTGAGGAATTGTCAATCACACATGAGTGATTACCTTATCAGCGAGATAAGGTCCTATCTTCTCCATTACACCATTACCGTGTTACATTACCTTAAATTACATCAATAAAGTCGCACTTTTGAAGCTTTCCTCTATCAAATTGTCCCTATACTCTTAATAATTAAACACATGATTCCCAATCCTAGTTGGTCACAATATAGGTAAACTATTATAAAACTAACCTTGGTCTCTCTGAGCAACAAACTAGATGTAGTCAGTCATATTAGTCCTGGTAGGAATTAGAATGATTACAAGTCCCGTAAAGATGAATATATTTCCAAGATTGCATTTAGGAAAGTCAACATAATGAGTTATTGCTACAAAGTGATTGTAGCATGGAAACCAGAGGGTCGATTTTACATTATGTTTCATTTCTCTGTGGTATAGGCCCAACAACAACAATTGATTAATGTTTCAAGTCTTTAGCACGTCTATTAGTGGTTGACTCGACTAAAGATGCACTGTTTTTAATTAAGTAAAGAGGGGATTGATATTTTTAGGGTGGTATAAATAAAAATATCAAAAACCGGAATTTCTTGTGGACATTTTCCAAGTTTATCATATGTAGAAATAATTGATTTATACATATTCCTTGACTTAATAATATAGAGGACATCCGATTTAAGTTGCTTAAGTTTAAATGTTGCTTTTCGTTACTGATTATTCTCAGTATCTTAGAATTATACAAAAACTAACCTATAACATAAATATTTGTTTACAATAGTGAGGCGTACAATATTTCGTTACACCTCAAACTATTTAAACTTGGATTCAGCGAAGTTGAAAAGAAGTAAGGGATTAAGATTGCCAACCAAATTACACTATCCTTGGGCAATACAACTTTAACAACAGTCAATAGTGCATATTTTAAATGCATATGTACGTTAGCACGATTATGGGAATTATTATTTCTAGGTAGTTCTTTATGCTAAATGGGATGGAGTAATTAAAGTGGTTTCTAACTGTAAAGAATTGGAATTTTCTATGTAATGTAATAACTCAACGTCCTTAAAATAGATTTATTGGCAGTTTATTAGGTGACACAGAACTAAACTTAAGCTTCTCGAACAATGGAAGTCCTAATAATGCCTTAATACCTTTATAAACGCGGACCAAGGCATAAAGTAAGAGCGAAACAAGCTTATATTTAGTTTTTTAGAAACAAAATTTACGTTAGTTTTAAAGTTACATTTATAACTTGTCTGGATGACCTTTGGTAAGTATATTATTTTTCATAGGATGTTATTCTTAGGAACACCACCAATAGCATGAGGATGAAGCCTTTGGAAGTATAAGTTACATCGATTATTCAGTCCTTGAAATACTGACTGTTCATGGACTATATATCTTGGAAACTATTATTTATGCAAAAAATATTACAAAAACTCAGGTATTAAACAAAATTAGTCATAATTATAACACTCGTTCTCAAACTCAAATTGATAGACACAATCTAGAATTGTATAAAAATAAAACGAAATTCACAGGAAATAAATTTATGTCCCATCTACCAAAAACCCTTCTAACTGAAAATGATACAAAAAAAGTTTAAAAATTGTCTGAAACAGTATTTGATTAAACTTGTCCCTTATTATCTTGAAGAGTTTTGGGAGAAAAAATAAAATAAATACTCTGTTTTATTTTTAGTTCAATGTAAAGCATTATATTTTGTAAGATCTGACTCTATTCCTGTACAATTGTACTGAAATGAATAAAGGATATTTTGATTTGATTTGATATGATTTGATTTGACTTTACAGTATTCAGTATTTACAAAAGTCTACGGTGGGTGAAAGCATTATTATTAATTTTCTGGTGTTCGTGACTCATTTCTTTGAAACGAAAGGACCGCCATGTAAAGTTTCTGTATCAGCAATCTTGTTTTAGAGTCACTGTCTTGAAGCGTCAAACTTTATAGATTAAGGGTTTAACAAGTTCTGAGTGAAGGGACTTTGACACTGAGTGCCGATCACTTACCATTTCAAGAAAGATAATTAGTTACATTAGGTTGTCGTAGTAACTAAGTAATGACAATGTATAACAATGTGCGTATATCTTTTCGTTTAGTTTGTTAAGAACATTGTATTTGGATACATAAACTCTGTCGAGAGAAATAAATTTGGACTGCTCTGGCTTGGGATGTTCCGGGGAACAACACCTCAACTTTCACATCAGTGTCCGAGTTTTTAACAACCATTGTTACTTTTCATGTTTACAACGGTTTTATTGAGAAAGAACCCAGTATATTATGAGTATTCACTGGTAATAACAGTTTATTGCACACAGTTATGCATACTTAAATTGATACTATATCTTCAAAAGAATTTGTCAGATTTTCACCTCCAACTGAAAGTTCTTAGAAGCTAAGTTGACATTGTTTGATTAAAAATGCCCTCTAGACTAAATAAAGAAAAAGGTGATACTAAGCTTGTGCCTGTTTTTTTTATAATCACGCCATGCTACAAAAAACACATGACTAGGCAGCTCTACATATATACAAGCGTTTAAAAATGTACCTATATGGATAGAGTTTGTTAAAACTATCCATAAAAATTTTGATTATAATCTATCTATACTTATTTAATACGCAAGCAGGTTTTTTTGTCACAATTACTCCTCCGAAACTACTGAACCGATTTACATGTTTTTAGTGTCATTGGAAACAGCGTAACGTGAAGTTGTGCAGGAAACCTTTTTTTTTGGGAAATAATTAGAGAGTGAGGCCCTGGGGATCTTTAAAGTTTCGTATTTCTCCATAAGATTAACATGGGAAACAAACATTGTTATAAAAATCCAGCTGTTGTCAGAAGTTAAAAGTGAGAAGAAGAACATATGTTAATTGTAAACAGTCAATAAGTTTGCTAATTAAACAGTTTGCTACAAACATTTACTGACTTGGTTGATATGAAATATTTACTATTTGAATTTGGGTTGGCGTAAATATTACAATGAAAAAAGCGAGAGAGCCTGGATAATTTGATATACTAAAAAGAAAACTGAATTAACACTTTGCTGCATTTCTTAGTAATCATTGAAAACACCAATTTGCAAACTATAGAAACATAGGGAAGTCATAGAACACCACTAAGGAGAATATATAAAAATAATGTGTTTTTTTATTTATAATCGTTATTATGGACAACCTAATGCAGCTATGAGTAAGGCTATTTGTAGAAAACACTAAAAAACAAGATCAGCTTTTGAAAAATGATAAGATATTTACAAGAATTGTTGATTATATCGATCTGTTATGTACATTTTGAGAATTTCCATAATCTTTTGAGTCGAATCTTTTAAAATCGTCGGAAATTATGAATGTTATTCGTTTTTAAATAACGCCTGTAATACTTAGCAATTGCTCGAATTCGAGCAATATGTACACTAGTAAATAGTAAATTTAATAACACGTGCAAGGCTGATCAAGAATTGTTTAATAAATTATAGGCATACAGTATAAGTATTCTGGTCTTATGCCACGTAAAATACAATAAAATTATTACTGTGGTAGAGTATTTATTTATAACATTATTTTTTTAGGCTACACGGACGAATACTTAGGTGGAAGGCAGTGGACGTTATATAGGTAAGAAACCTACTTTTGTACATGCAAAGAAATTATAAAAATCGTGGATCAAAGTGTTTCTGTTTAATTTAGGCAAACCTTTAGCATTTATAAGATACATTTAAAGCTTTATTTTATTCAAATGTGGATTGGAGCTACGACTATGGCATATTTTAAGTACAAAAATGCGAACAAACTACTCATAGTATTCAATATATTGAATATTGAATTGATTTAGTTTAAATATATCAGTCAATTAATTGTTTGTAACATTAAAAATAATTGACATGACACAAATTTAATGTTAAACGTGAATATCTAATTTGATCTAATTGTTTAAATTATTTCTAAATCCTTATGATAATCATCACTAATTGATGCAGATACATCGTAGGTTTATAATGGTGGGGTAAAGTGAAGAAGATGTTGTTTTTGCAAATTTTCTTCTTAATAACGGTTCACGTAAAATCTATTTAATCAGCTTAGGTTTATGCGAAGAAGTGTTTAGTATACCGGTACTTGTGTATTTGCATACTTCTAATCATAATTTTAATTAATTAATTATCCATTACTCCGTTCTGTATTCTTTCAAATTGATTAGTTTCCATTAGAAGTTATCGTTCACAATAGTTATCATTACGTTGTTGTAGCATTGTTTAACAATTTAATATTCTTGATCTTGCACCACAGTTTCTCAGGTTATTGTTTGATCTATTGCACGTATTACGCGTGAAGACGTCATACGGCGCAGAGAAAACTGATAACAATTATCAAAGGATCTAGCGTCCATGTTGGCACAAAAGCTCATAATGAAGCTGCAATATTCATTCTTCATCTTTGTTCTCGGCCTTGCAATCTCGAGTTGCCGATTCATAACAAGCTCTTTGTGGGCTTTTTGCCAAATGTGTGTGTATTTTATTACTTTCAAACATCTTTGCATAGTTTAAATATTCTGAGATCAATGATAATAACGAAGAAACATCGTTATTCAAATATGATTATAATAAATGAATTAAGAATCAACTGGAATGAGTTTGCAAACCAGATAAATAGGGTCATGGTACAGGGTATTCTGGGGTTTTGAAATTTTGAAATATTGGGTTTTAAAAGTGTTTAAAATTCAAATATGAAAATTCCAAATTTGTATTACAGCCATCTTGTAGAGCTTAAAAACAAACAATTTCGTATAATGATGCTTTATAGTAAAATTAATTGTTATTGAGACAATTCACAAAAACTTAACATTTAAGATTCCCACGGTTTTTTTTATGGAGAAACAGAAAACTGTTGTAATTTGCTTTTTTATAGATTCTGTAGATCAAATTTGGCAAATTTATTTATTTAATTCTATGCTATTAACATAGTATTGAATTAATATTATTATTTGGGAGCGAGCTGGCGTAGTGGTTAAAGCGTGGGACTTCAGTCCCTGAGGTCTCGGGTTCGATCCCCGCCAACTCACCTATGGATTTATCTAAGTGATAATGCCGCAGGTCTAGCCTGAAGTAATGTGAAAAACAAATGCGCTATCCTAGGGAAAAAATACTATTACAATTTTGTAAAAAAAACACTTGTTACCGTCCCTGTAGCAGTACTAGTTAAGTTTAATGTTATTTAAGTGGGAATAGATAGACATATTTATGGAAATGTTTGAGTTAAAATTCAATCAGAAAAATCATAATTCGCTTAATCAGTCAAAATTAGGTGTACCTTGACTATATTAGCCTAATTTCACACAAAAAAGCTATATTTAATTTATTTTGTTATTCGACCTTTTTCATCTTGGTTCGGTTGAATAAGAAATCTAAATATATATAAAAAATGTCGTGTTAATTACACCACTTATAACTCAAGAACGGCTGGACCGATTTTAATGGTTTTTGATTAGTTTGATTCGTCTTCAGTTTTGTATTTAACCTTATAAGCGCCACTCGCCTGTAAAGTTTGTATGTTAACCTTATGGAGCTATCGGAAGAACGTGAATAATCAAATATATAAATTAGTTCAAATAGCTGAGGTTAGGAGGTACAGGTTTGCTCCCAAGATTCTTCTAGGTGGCTATTTACTTTATTATTTGCATTTTCATTCTAATTACAAACTAAATTGTAATTAATTATACTAATTTTTTTGTCGTACCTAATACTTATATTTTCTTTTATTAGGAAAATATAAGTATACACTTATAAAAATATATATTAGGATACTAAAAATACTTGGAGTATACACTTTACATGCTATTGTAAAATCTAAAACCGTTATTAGTGGTTACGATCGATTGCCCTGATGATAGAATACTTAATTTCACATAACACTTCATATTACCGTAGCTTTTTTCACATTTAGAGAAAAGGAGTTATTGTGTTTTCCTACAACACTACTTTAATTTTACCATGGTGCATATCACAAAACTCAGCTGTGCGCAATTCAATTTTGCTTCTAAAATCAATTAAATATTTGTTAATTATATTCCTTTACTCAATGGTTAGCGTGTTAACTAATGTAAATACAATGAACTAAGGAGCGAGTAAAAATAATAACTGGTATGTATTATATGTTGTTGATTTCTTATTTACACTGATAAAATTTGTGCCCTGATTAACGATGATAGGGACTGTCTTTCTTACAAAATGTAATACAAGTGTTCAGTTATTTTAATTTTGCTTACGGTGATTTTTACATAATGAGCCAGAGGTAAAGATTCCTGACAAAATTTCAGTAGTTAAGGTACAACATATCCTATATTATCCTATTTTATGAGAAATCATTTTAAATTGTTTGTTGCTTTAATGTTGTGCAATAATGTTTTCAACTAAGTAAACTTTTAAGTAAGCGTATCATTTGATACAGTATTTTCATACATGCATCAGCGGCTTATATAATTTTTACTAGGTAGCCTAACAAAATTTATCATAGTACAAAATTTAACAAGGTAATTTTTATCATAGCCTAGCTTTAAAGCAAGATGTATTTTCAAACTAAGAAGTCCAATGAAATTTCGTTCCTGAAACCAAAGGCGGATGTGTAACTCTTTTATACGACTGACTGAAACTTTAAAATTTTCTCTTAGGTGTTCTCTCCGTTGCGAAGCACGGGTACAGCAGCTAGTGCTAAATAAAAGTGTACCTGGGCCGAAATTTTTAAATAAATAATTTGACTCACTCTTATCTTTTATTTCTAATACAGATATCTTTAACTTTAATATACATCCCAAATTTCATAAGGATCGGTTGTAAAGCTTCAAATACAAACATTTTTATGTATAAAGAAAAAAATGGTAGCTACCTGGGAAAATATGCATTTTTGGACATTCCTTCTTATCAAACTTTTTTGATTGGTATTGGGGTCCATATTCCAAAGTCCTGAAAAGTTGCTTATGGACACTCTGAATATGAAAAGTTTAAGTGCTTAAGTAGTCATTCATGTTTCGTGAGACAACAGGTGTAAATATATTTTTCGATGTTGTTGTTTATTTGTATGCTAATTAATTGATCAACATTTAACAGATATGATTTTGTTATAAATTTAAAATTAAAAGCCCTTGGAGCCTACCTGTGCTAACTCTGCCAAACACTTAAACAACTACAAAGACAGTTTTTAATCTCGTAGTGCCCTTGATATTTAAATTAAAATCACTTTGGTATTTGAATAAAAATTTTGTGTTGGTAATGGAACTTTAGTGGCTGTTTCAAATTAACATGGCTCTTATGGCGGGCAAGTTAAAGATGGCCGATAGCCTCCAAGGACTTCCTTGAAAAACATTTACAAAATCACAATTAGAAGACCTTTCTGAAGAAAATTTCAGATCTTATAGAGCCTCCTTATTACTATCACTATGGCATTTATAAAAATACTTTGGGATGATAAATCACTCTTCAGCAGCTGTTTGAAATTAATCAAATATGGCCGCTAGCCTCAAAGAACTTCTAATGACACCTTCAGCTTTAAGATTGACGTTGGTTATTTTGATGAGTTGACACAGCAGTTTTAATATTTTGGTAATGAATTATAAACATGCTAGATGTTGGTTAGTTCTTGTTTATTATATTCTCTGATTTCTTCTCCCTGTTGAAGGAGATACAGTTAGCACCTGAAGGGCCGAATCCGTAAGGTTTGTGCGACATAGTGTTCAAGTAATACGTCCCTCTTGCACTGTAAAATGTCCAGATCAAGTCATTAACAGTTATGTAAAACAAATAAAAAATATTCATTAGCCACATTGTAACGTGTCAAATTTGTTGATGAATAAATTAGGCCGTAATGTAACCTGGGTAAACAATTTTACTGAGCCCTAGTTGTTGTTATATACCTTGTCCTATCCAAGATGACTAAAAAGACATTTGCATTACAACCAAGTACAACAACTCGTGTAGCGTACCAACTCCTAGCAACGGGATGAAGGATAATAGATTGAGTTGAAGGAACCATTTTTAATTGTAAACCTCTTACTGCTGGTGAGCACCATTTGGCACTAAGCAACATCTACAACCATGAACTCTCTGACATGGTCTGCAGAAAACTCATAGCAGAAGCAAACTTCGTTTTTTTGGTCCGTTCCGCTTATTCAACGGTAAAGATCCTGTCTCGGGTTTTCGTAACTCACTGACCAATGAGCGGGTGTTTGCTTCTTGTTGGGTCTCGCACAATTACCAAGGGATTAGGTTAAGCCTCGTCCATTCTTGTTCTGGCTTTGTGAGTGAGATCGTGTGCTTTCCTATTACCATTTGCAACCGTAAAATTTACATCTTAAAATTATCTCCTTTTGAAATCGACAGTGCACCCTCGCATCTGTGAGGTGCGTGCATTATGGAAATAAACACGCAATTCATTGGGCAAAAATAATTAGCCACGTGGCATTTGTTTATAAGAGAGGTTTGAAGTTAATATTGTAAAAAACTACACTTTTGCAGTTATCAAGTGTATAATACGTAAACTAGCTGTTGTGAGTTGAATAAAGTTAAAACTTACTAATTAAAGCCCGTGGGAAATACAGGTCCATGGCTAGTTTTTATATAGTCTATTTTATAGTTTTTCTACCACCATTTAAGTTGTCCATTAAAAACTCCTTTACAATTTAACGATTAAAAAGTCGCAGTGATTTTGGACGTATAGGTGCTGTTTTTAGGATTGAGAACGTTCTACAAGTAACATATACAGTGCAGTGTTACTTACCCGGAGACTGGTGGAAATGTTAGTGAAGTCTTTGACATAAAACTGCAGAGGCAGGACTTGAAAAGGAAATAATGACTGCACCTCCTTGCTATCCACAACTGAGGGTATAGAATCACATACCAGAATGCTGTCACAGCTCTTCTATGACTGCACATAACGCTGCGTTCTAAAAAAGTACGTATAAAAGAGTTATGACGAACAATCAATTAATTGAACTTATGCCAAAGATCATATACTAAGCGTTTACTGGTTTATTTCACAAAATAATTGAGGAAAACTATTTTAAACCTTACTTGAGGAAAGTACCTGTATTAAAGTTAGTTGATTTAGGTAGGCTTAGAACGAACGGCTCAAAGCTTAAACACTACAAAAAACGAATCAGCAGGGCCATTTCCGACCAGAATTAGCATGATCACTTTTACAAATGGTTGGTAAGTTCTCAAACATTATTTGCAAAATATCTCAATTAGAATACGTGTGTACTGAATATTTTTATTCGTAAACTATAACCCTCTCAACAGATATAAGAACTAACAAAATATAAATATACGTTAAAGACACATATTCCGTACATACATTCTTGTCAAAAACCGTGATTGGAAGAGACCGGGTGTTTTAAAATCAGCAATACTCATTAGTTTTCGTGTTAATTATAAGTAGTATTACATCAAAACATTTGTTAACTCTTGCTACTTAAGAATATGTCTACTTGCTACAAATAGTTTAGCTAAGCTTTTCAGACTTCTTAGAGAAAACCTTTGAGGTCTACATTTTACAAGCAGGTTCTTTCAATCCTTCCCTTACCAGCTCACGGCATCATTAATTGTTGCAACTTCCTGGTAAATTGCACCTTAAGATCCATCGTAGTTCGGGGGTTATAAGCAACCTGAGAATTATATTTTAGATGGGATTGATATCATGGGGACCAAGCTGAAAGTAGACTCATAAAAGTACCATGATAAACTTTTAGTTTCACACATACGCATCAAGGTAAACTACGGTGTTGCATAGTCCACGGCTCCATGACTTCTAAAATGACTTAACATACAAAAATGAGTGACCTCTTTCCCCCTCGCAATGGTTACAGTCGCACGTATACCATTTAAAAGTATCCGGGTCCTGTGTATATGTATTTTTAGATATTACTAGTAAACGAAAAAAAGTGTTTAAAGGCAGCAACATTGAAAATACACACAGAGAAAGAGTATTGTATGCTAAATAGTAATACGTAGGCTAGCAGTCCAGTAAAACTGTCAGAAAATAAGGGGTTGCCGTGCAAAAGGTCGGGTAGTTCTGATTTTTGGATATGTTGTTAGTATTAGGTCCATAACATAAAATCCAAGTTATCCACCTCGAGATGCTGCCGCTCGCCGCGGGGCGCGCCACTTGTTATCGAAATATAAAAAAATATGGCAATTCCTATTGTTTTTCACTCAATCTCACGAACCGTTGATTTTACCGAAAATTGTATATTATTACATTAAAGAAGAATAAATTTGTGACAGTTTAAGCCCAACAGCAAGTATGTAGCGTAAATAATGGTCAAAATACAGACCATCAAAATAAATGAATTTTCCAAAGACGTATAAAAATTGAGTTTTTTTTTCAATATTTCCACAATATAGTTGTTTGAAGCAGAACAGAACTCTTAAATGGAAACCATACCGGAGAAGACCGAGCGTTGGACTGGCAGCCAAAATATCACACCGCTGATCCTTGGATTGAAGAGCCCTCCTTAGAAGAGGTCGAGATATGTATAAAGAAGCAGAAGAACCACAGAGCGCCAGGTGAAGACGAGATTAATGCTGAGCTTTGGAAGCATGGTGGTCAAGAATTGGCGTGCTGTTTACACAAGCTTATATTAATGATTTGGAGACAGGAATCTCTTCCCAGCAGCTGGAACAATGGAGTAATTACTCCTGTGTACAAAAAGGGTGACAAACTAGCATGCAGTAACTACCGTGGTATCACTTTGTTGGATGTAGCGTACAAGATATTCTCTGCTATTTTGGTCATGCGACTTAGCCCCTTCACAGAGAATGTACTCGGGGAGTACCAATGTGGATTCCGACCAGGAAGAGGAACTATTGATCAAATATTTAACATGCGCCAGACTATGGAAAAGACTTATGAATACGCAGTTGATTTGCACATGTTGTTCATTGACTTTAAACAGGCATTTGACAGCATAGACAGGAGAAAACTACTTGATGCCCTTGAGTGTTATGGTTATCCAGGGAAGCTGGTGCGGCTCACAAAAGTTACATTAGAACACACTTATAGTTTAGTAGCTGTGGGTGGTAAACAAAGTAAAGTGTTTAGGATTTCAAGAGGTGTCAGGCAGGGTGATGCGCTATCAGCTCTGCTTTTTAATTTGGCCTTGCATAGTGCTATGTGTAGACTAGACCTGAGAGGGAACATTACTCGTAGGATGATACAAGCACATGCCTATGCTGATGACATAGCGCTTGTTGCTAGACGCCTTGAGGACCTAAAAGAAATGTTTCAGACTATTGAAGAGGAGGCTAGTCGTATGGGTCTGGAAGTAAATGAGGAAAAGACACACTACATGAAAATGTCTGAAGCAGAAGCCAGAAGGAGAATCCAAAACTTGGATGTAGGCAATTATTGTTTTAAGGGTGCGGATAGGTTTGTTTACCTTGGGGCAGAGCTGAACAGCAAAAACACTGTTGCGCAAGAAATCACAAACCGAATCATGGCTGGTAACAGGGCATATTATGCTAACCTTGGGATCCTCAAATCCAAGCTGGTGACCCGCAACACAAAGATGAAGCTGTACAAGACTCTCATTAGGCCGGTTGTTACGTACGGTGCAGAAACCTGGTCCCTATCTGCAGTGAACACAAACGCACTGAGAGTGTTCGAAAGGAAAATAATAAGAAGAATACATGGAGCGGTGAAGGAAGGGGACAGATGGAGGATATTGAAGAATGCTGAAATAAACGACATTTTGCAAGGGGAGGATATTGTGCACTTCATCAAAGCAAGAAGGATCGGTTGGTTAGGCCATGTGGAGCGAATGCCTCAAGGAAGACAGCCCAAAGAACTATTGTGCCAGAACATGGAAGGGACTAGGAGAAGGGGTAGGCCGAGAAGAAGATGGCTTGATGAGGTGGAGGATGACCTGAGGATGTTGAGAGTGAGGAATTGGAAAGAGATGGTGCAAGATCGAGGCGATTGGAGGCGAATTGTAGCAGAAGCCAAAGGCCACCAAGGCCTGTAGAGCTGCGGAAGTAAGTAAGTAAGTAGTAAGTTGTTTGAAGCAAACACCGTATTGACTTAGAGTGTATGCCAGTTTATTTGCTATTAATAGAAAATAAATGAAAGTATGAATAAAAATACCCCCACCTCAGCAAACCTGCAGACTAAGCGAATTTCCATTTGCTTGATTTGATTTTCACAAACCTATTTAAATAACATTAGGTTTAACTGGTGCCTAGGTTTGCTGCTACCGGGAGGGTAATATAGTATATAAAATAATAATAGTATGATAAGGAAAAAAACAATTATATTAATAGCAAATAAACTGGCATACTCTCTAAGTCAATACGGTGTTTGCTTCAAACAACTATATTGTGGAAATATTGAAAAAAAAAACTAAATTTTTATACGTCTTTGGAAAATTCATTTATTTTGATGGTCTGTATTTTGACCATTATTTACGCTAAATACTTGCTGTTGGGCTTAAACTGTCACAAATGTATTCTTCTTTAATGTAATAATATAAAATTTTCGGTAAAATCAACGGTTCGCGAGATTGAGTGAAAAACAATAGGAATTGCCATATTTTTGATATTTCGATAACAAGTGACGCGCCCCGCGGCGAGCGGCAGCATCTCGAGGTGGATAACTTGGATTTTATGTTACTAACAACATATCCAAAAATCAGAACTACCCGACCTTTTGCATACCAAAATGTCTTATTTTACTGGACTATAGGGTAACAGACGGAGAATAAAACTAGAATATACAATCTCCTCCTAACACTTACTGAAGTAACACCCTGGCTGGATCCATCCACTGTTGAGATTGAAATCAGCTGTTGCCTTGCGAAAGAGAGACCCCTCGCCAATTGAGTTACTGTGGTAGGCAAACACCAGCTGGGCGTCGTCCTTAGAGATCACTTTGTTTTTAAAAGCGTATAAAAACGCCGAGTGTGGGTCCAGAGCTGAGGGATCATATAATAGTATATAAAATAATATACTATTATTTTATATCACATATAATATCCCATTCACACATTTTATATCACATACATTTTATATTCAATTAGAGATAATTTTATTTCAGTTATTATCTTATACGAGTAAAATTAAAATATGATATTATTATATGTATTTATTTTTGTCAACAACAAAACAAAAGTATCTCGTTAGTTACGAAAAAGGTAATGGTTAGAGTAATGGGTAAAGGTTAGGTTCTAGGTATGAGTTAAATAACAAAAATCTAGAATCATGTAATGTAGAATATACTGTATAATAACAATACTAGGTGTTATCATAACAATACATTTGTAAAACCATATTTATTCACATAATTATGTGAACTAAAGATTTACCTTAAAATATCGCATAGTATTGAAATAAATACAAACAACATTACTTGATATTTGGAGCAAGAGGTAATATTAATTAATACTAATTAGTATTGCAATAATCATGAGATTACAAATAAAATAATAAACATATATTATTTAATTACAAAGAAATACACTCGTATTCAGCCCACGAGACCTCTTTAATTATTAAGAAGTACGTTTTTCTTGACATTAAGAAGAGTAATGCAATTACTTCATTATATTCTTCATTTGAACATTCTATTTACGCACCTGTTATGGATTTTATCTTGTTGCCACCGTTTGTCGAGGATAAATAGCGACCTATATAGCCTGCAAGCTGGCTAGAGTAGCAAAATCCAAAAAAATGTATTTGGTCAAGCTGTAGTAGATTGTCTGCGATCGCTGTGTTGAAAAATTTACCAATCGTTTCACTAATGTCCTGTAAATATCAAATATGTTATTTTATAGTTTCTATAAATGAGCATTAGACGATATCAAATAATTCAATGCACACATTTAATCAAAGAAATAAAAAGTGTTTGACCCAGTTAATTTTATGTTAAACTCTTCTACTACAGTGAATATCTGAAATAGTTGACTGCTGCTACGTATAATTTTATACGGAGGTATTCTTATTAAATTATGTTTGTATAGTACAACTTCAATGAATTTGTAAATTTAAAAACTATTATATTTTGATAAGAAAAGTTGCTTTTAACAAATTGAACGAATATCATTAGACTGTAGTACAGGTATAGTAAAACGTTTCTGTCCATTGTGATAATTTTTAACACCTTTTGATGTGATGTATAATATAGTACACTTGGACCAAATCGAAATTAAAGGAAATACAATAATTTTAAGGTATAAACAAGTATATTTACTTTGTAGTTAGTTCTTTGACCGTACATGGCTTTGGCGATGGTCTGTTCCATAGAATCCTGCAACTCTGGCATGTCGAATGCAAACACGTTATATTTCTTCAAGAAATTTCTCAAAGCTAATGCTGAAAAAAGTTGAAGAATAATTTAATTTGTTATGTGATCCAAATTTATTTTAGTTATAGGGAATTCGTAAGTCAGTTGAGTAATGATACAACCGGTATATAATCTGTATGCGTAACTTAATGAAAATAATCATATTAATAGTAACTCTCCATATATGATGAATTTTAATTTAGATTGTATTTCGTTTATTAAACAAACTTTAGTGATTTATTGGATGTATTCAATACACATTTCATGGCTAGTTGTTGTTGTTTACATAATCATTTTAAATGTAGTTTATAACGCAGATATATGACGCCACACCATGCTATTTTATTTATAAAAATGACACAGGAATACCTTTGATAGATTTCATTAAAACCTTTAAATATAGTTGTTTTACTATTTTCTGTAGGTAGCGTTTCAGCTGATGTTTGGCACACTATTATTTCATTTAAATATTAGTTATTAGATTGTATTCTTAATTGTGCGGAGCCAACTAAGCGTCAACACTTATGCATTCTCGTATACGTAAACTCCTCCTAGATGGCTTAAGCAATTTTTAATTTGCCTGGTGATAAAGAACATATCGGTGAGTGCCAATATGTAAAAAAGAAAAAAAACTTTCGAGAGTGTCATTTTTGTTTTTAAAATTAAAGCCTCTTGTTAACATTGAATATCTTATAAACTATCCTATTTGGAACTATTTCAGTCCTATATTTAAATATGGAATTCTAACGTGGGGCCAGACGTATGGCGAGAGTTTTAAAAGTAACTATTGATTGGACTTTGTTTATGTTTATGATCTATACCGAGTTTTATGAGAATATTTTTAGGAAACAGTACCTAATAAAATTACAACATTGCTAGGTTTGAAACTATTGTAACGGCTTTTTGTAGTTTACAGGACAAACTACTCACTATGTTGTGTTTTCTACCCCTGTTAAATCTGAACGAATAGTGTTTTTGCCTCTAGAGTCATCAAATTAAAAAAGTAAATCGGTTCCGGGTCTAGGACTCTACAACCTACGGTAATTGCTACTTCCTTGTAAGGAAATTCGCTATAAGGAAATAACTACGTTCTTATTCCCTGGATTTCCTTTTCCATAGATTCTTGAAAGAGAAGTGAAGTTTAACGTATAATGTTTGGGAGATAGCAATAGATTGAATATTTTTCATCTTACATCTAAAAAATCATCATTGACAACAAGAAGTGTGCAAAAAGCTTTAAAGCCGGTCTTGAAAGTTTCTAAAGTAATGAACTACTTGAAATTAAAGTGGTTATCCATAATTTACCAACAATCAATCTGTATTACACAACAAGCAATAATACCTTTTTTAAAAACACAATTTTGCATTCAGTAATAAAAAAAAAATAATAAAAGTTAGAGAGAATAAGACCGAACGAAGAGAAGAAACCTGAAAGTGCGTTTACGAAGCATTGCGGAGCTACGGTCGATGAGATGGAAATTTTCTCCTGGAACGTATTGTAATTTTTGTACAGGGCTCTTCTAAGGAAAATGGGGTGATTGTCGTAGGCGTACGATAAAAATGCCTACAGGTGATACTATATCAACAACCTTTACAAAAACAACAAAACATTATTCTCAAGATTTGGTTATTCAAAAATAATCTTCAGTGACAGCGAAACTCACCTAACATCACAAGAAATGAACATCTCCGAAGAGATCAAATAGGAATTTACCAGCCTTTAAAATGAATGTCCATGTATATGTTCGTTTTATCCATGATTTGAGATTTCTGTTTTGATATTATGTTAGGTTCGACGGTTGGTAATTCGAAATAGATGGCATCACAAACACATAAATACTTAAATAGTTTTACCTAATATAATTGTCTAGTTTCTCTCTAAAATGTTATTGGAGTAATACTAGTATATTATCAATCCAAATATACGTATTACGTATTACGTATCCTCTGTCAGTATTTTATATGATGTACCTACATCAAAGTTCGTTGACTGTTTTTATCTAAATGCCATTATATTTTTAACAAACATTGAAGTGGTCCTAGTATTGTGAAGCCAGTCATACCTGTAATTGTGTTTCTGACAAAGTAGTTGTCAGCATCACCAGAAATCGTATGCATAATAAATATAGACTCTAACTTTCCTCTGAAGCCATTTTCTTCTTTAAACAGGTCCTTGGCATCCGCTAATGGCCTAATATGGTACTTCGGGTTTGTTTTTTCAGACGTAAATAATGCATAGGCCTCATCAAGTTTGCCAAGGTATTTGGGAATCACATCGTCACTCTGGATGGTCTTGGCTCCGAATGGCACCCACTCTTTGCTGAAATGACTTCAGAGTTTAAACTGTGATTTTCCGTGATTTTATGAACCTAACATTAAAATAAGTTTTCCTACAGTCACCCGATGTTCCTTGCACATTATTATAGTACAGAAAGCCTTACTTTAGTTCACAGTTTTTTGGTGCACACCAGTATTCCAACCAAACAACACAAAAAAGCGTGCTTTTATTTTGCACGTTTATAAAATTTATAGTAGGTAACTGTAGGAAAAACAATAATGTGTAACACTAGTGCAAACTGCCTTTGCTGCACTCAAGAAACTTTGGCTCGTGCGTAAACATTTATCTCGTGTGCAGCAAAGTGCCACTTCGCCCACTAGTTACACAAATTCAATTCAATTGGTAGCCTATGTTGTAAAGTTGTTATTTATATAAAATATAAAAACGTAAATAAACTACATAGAATTGTAATTCTGGTTGCAATTCTCATTATTGCAATGAAGTACGATCGTTAAATTAACTACTGTAATACCCCCGCCGCAGCAAACCTGCATTCTAAGCGAATGAAAACTTGATAGCAAATCAACAGCTGTTCTGAATCATACACGGGCTAAGCCGATCACACTTAACATCAAATGATAATCAAAGATACTGTTTTTTTTACACAAAGTATATGGTGTACAGAGATATCTATCCCTACACATATATAATTTTATACTAAATTGGTTTAAAAATTACAATAATTTGTTTTATCTTTCAGCTTTTTAGAGACCCATGTCCCTACAATCCACTGGTATGAGTTATATAAGATTGTTTAATTGAAAAACTATATTTAAATAAATAACAAATATAGTGAAACCGTAGCCCTGTATTGTATTACATTTTTAGAGAGCTTGACAAAAACTTGTTTCAATCTAATAGGCTAATAAGGAGCACTACATAGGTCTGGTGGGATTTTAAATATATCTTTACTATATTTTATGGCTAGTTTTTAAAATTGTATTTAGGATATAAAGCTAAGCTAAGCTGGGTTTTAATTTTGTTAGTTAACACTCTATCAGCCCAAATCCAACTCCATTCCCAATGGAAAATAATGTTTTAGTTGTCTGCATTCCAAATACTTTAGATACAGGCTTTTGGAATTGATATCGGATATAGATTGCAGTTAAGATCTTAACACCCTTTTAATGTTTTCCAAATACAAAATAAAGATTTCTAAATGCATAATCCAGAAGATAGTCTGATTATTAGTTTTGTTGTCTAATAAAAATATCTAATTCTTTTTTTAGCGAATTACTCATATAGGGAATAAGCTATTACCGTAGGTCTCATGGTAAGATCTGGACCCGGGACCGATTTATTTCTTCGTTTTGAGGTCCCCAGAGGCCAAAAACACCAACTATTCAAATACATGTCCGTTGGTACGATAACTCGAGCAAAAATGATCCGATTTTGAAGAAATTCTGTATAAACATGTAATCCTACAATTAATTAATTATTCGAACTAGTTCGCGAACCAGCATGATCCGACCATGGGAACGGAGGTCTATTCTTATGGAGGAAATTAAAACTGCAGTACTTTTACTAATTGTTTATGGATATTTTATGTTGATAAAATTTGGCGAATTTATTTATTTCATCCTGTACTGTTGACGTATGGTCAAAAACACTTTTTAGCTTACCTGTAGCAGCAAACCTAAGCCCTCGTTAAATCTAAAGTTATTTAAATTGTGAATAAACATGTCTTATTTATGGATTTTTTTTATTAAAACTGCAATCAGACAAGTTCACTTAGTCTGCAGGTTTGCTGGGTATTTTATATTTGCTATTGGGATTTACTTCAGAATGATAAATATTATTCTAATCTACGCAAATTAAAAACTAGCAATTGTTCAAATACTAATAACTGTATCTAACAATCCTTACTCTACAAGGCGTAATTCAATTTTCGATTCCATCTCTTCTTTAGGTACATCCTTTGCCGTTGGTAGAAAGTTCTTCAATTTAAAAAACGCATCCGAACTTTGAAAATTACCTGAAACAAATTTAACTCCTAAGTAAATGTGGTTACTATTTTATATTTGCATACTTAAATTTTTGATTGCGGTTATGAGTTAGTATTATTGCAACTGCTGAACTTGCGAGGATTCTGGGTCCTTATTTCAATCGTCTGCGCTGGGCTAGGCTACTATGTGGTTTCTTAAAACTGTTAAGGAGTAAAGAAAAACTTTATTTTATTGAGCTATTTAGACTTTATAGATACAAACTGAATCATAGTTCAGCACTCACACACAGAACGCTTATGCATACTCGTATACAATGTGAATCTGTTTATATTAATGAGCCAACCGTCATCTTTTAAATCTTAAATACTTACTGAGTATCCAAAATATAATAATGTGCTTCATTTCCCAAGATGTGTATCCATCTAAAACTGTTAGAACACTAGAATAAAACGTTGTCTGCTCTGGAGAGAAAAAAACAAGTAAATTTATTACGAAGCTGGCATGAGCACTGCTGTATCAAGGTCGCACATCGCCGAACTGACATTATTGACTAAATTAGTACGATTATTAGGGCAAAATTTTGAGCATGTGTGCATGCACGTGTGTTGTTGTTGTTGTTGTTGTTGTTGGTTGTTGGTTGTTGTGTGGTGTTTCTAGTGTGGAAGTTTTCTTATGATATTGGGTATACTTGACAACCCACAGAATAGAAACATCTATAGACTATATACAATAATGTTTTTTTTACTTAATAACATGCCAAAAAGGTGTGCAAGAGAGGTGTTATTTAAAGCTTATGATCTAGTGCACCTGAGAATTGTAGTTAATATGGTACCTTTAGGCCTTCACCCTTCACGTTTAATTTATTTCTAGAGTCCATTTCGTAGATCCATGTATACTGACCAAAGGTTCTGTATAAAGGTGTAAATGTGAATATTGTAATTTAACAGATGTTTCTACAGTTGATTGTTTAACCACAGTCGGATTGTTAATATGAGATTAAACTGTCTATGAAAATGTATGCCTGGGTGTTTCAATAGGCTTTTTTGACAACTGGGCCTAAATGATGTAGATAAATCTCTTATTACTGTACATAAAACATCAACAAATTCATTGTAATTTAATTTTTCTACTTGCTTAATAGCTGTTATAAGCAAACAAAATCATAAACAAATAAATGTGTATTGCAGTGGATTAATTTTGCCTCCAAAAAGGGTTTTGGATTGTATTAAACTGCGCCCTTTCCGCACGGGTCCCCTCCTTATTTTATATGTTACCAAGCTAGCAATAACCCTACAGAACAGATAACACTCTTGGGTGTTGTAATAAGTGTAAAAAAAGTAAAACTTTTATCAGTATTTTGATATTTCCACTTTTGTTGTGAATCTTTTTTCTGAAATCTTTACATGGGTTTATAATATGAGTTAATTTCTGTTTACTGTATACAAAAATTATTGATTTAATTTTAAAACTGTATGTTTGAATATATATTTGTATGATTGTATGTGTGTATGTATGAACGATATAGCCTTGGTAAGATATGTACCTCCGAATTAATAAGCGGGGAGAAAATACCGAGTTGGAGATAGTTTTTTTAAAACTTTGTACAACTAAATCCACAGTATTGGATGGGAAAGCTGGGTCGGAAAGCTTAATTCATGCAGATTTGCAAACAATTACGAACGTTTTATTATATTAAATATAAATCAGGGAAAAGTAAAAACACATGTTTTTTATAAGAAATACATTAAAACGGCATTTTCAAAGTTTCTATTTGTAGCCAAGATTAGGCTGTCTTTATTGAGTATTTTATATTAAGGATTTTTTTTTTAAAGGAAAATTCTTTATTTTTCACATAATTTCTGCAATGATTTATTGTTTATCTGCCAATTTTTAGTGGAACAATACTAGCCTGTTATTACTGCTTAACCATGGTTATCCCTTTTTCTATCAATACTGAATTAATTGTTTTCAGTATAAAGTAGTACGTAGTGACGTACTATATTTCCTTCTGAAAATATAGCCAAGCAAAGTAACTGCCAATCAGTTGCACTCTATTGTCTCCTTCAGATGCCGGGATTTCCGCATTTTCCGCTCGTTGCCTTTTCCTTTTCCGTTTTCTACTTTGCGAGAACTCTTTGCTGTACACTTACCGCATATTATAAATAACTGTTAACGTAAAACGTATATATTTCTATATTCCTTATTTGTAATTCAGTAATGCTAAAAGTAAATTAACAATATATATTTTATTCCTAACCTAATAAAATCACAATAAAAGGTGGTAAAGTAGATCATATAGTTTAAAAAGTAAATCTAGCATCATAGACGCATTAATGTCTGATTGGTGTTAAGGTTTTTTTTTAAAGATAAAGGGTTAGTACGGATAGAAAACCCTCATTAAAGCATTAAAAGTTTTTCCTTGCTCGATATTTGTAGTTTAACACGTTTAGGTAGTTATATCTTAAGCCAATGGCCATGAACGCAATGAAGGAACCAAACATTTTACAGTACATAGAAGGTTGACAATGGATGTCGCAAGCAGGATGATTAGCAAAGCTCATCTACTGAAGTCTGAGGACCCATTGTCTGTGGCTATTGTACGGCCACAGTCTGCCAACAATGTCTTGCTCATCTGTTGCGGCTTTTATGCCAAAGATCTTGATATATACATAGAGATCATGTATATTGTACGGCTACTGTCTGCCAACAATGTCTTGCTCATCTGTTGCGGCTTTTATGCCAAAGATCTTGATATATACATAGAGATCATGTATATTGTACGGCTACTGTCTGCCAACAATGTCTTGTTCTTCTGTTGCGGCTTTTATGCCAAAGATCTTGATATATACATAGAGATCATGTATATTGTACGGCTACTGTCTGCCAACAATGTCTTGCTCATCTGTTGCGGCTTTTATGCCAAAGATCTTGATATATACATAGAGATCATGTATATTGTACGGCTACTGTCTGCCAACAAAGTCTTGTTCTTCTGTTGCGGCTTTTATGCCAAAGATCTTGATATATACATAGAGATCATGTATATTGTACGGCTACTGTCTGCCAACAATGTCTTGCTCATCTGTTGCGGCTTTTATGCCAAAGATCTTGATATATACATAGAGATCATGTATATTGTACGGCTACAGTCTGCCAACAATGTCTTGCTCATCTGTTGCGGCTTTTATGCCAAAGATCTTGATATATACATAGAGATAATGTATATTGTACGGCTACTGTCTGCCAACAATGTCTTGTTCTTCTGTTGCGGCTTTTATACCAAAGATCTTGATATATACATAGAGATAATGTATATTGTACGGCTACTGTCTGCCAACAAAGTCTTGTTCTTCTGTTGCGGCTTTTATGCCAAAGATCTTGATATATACATAGAGATCATGTATATTGTACGGCTACTGTCTGCCAACAAAGTCTTGTTCTTCTGTTGCGGCTTTTATGCCAAAGATCTTGATATATACATAGAGATCATGTATATTGTACGGCTACTGTCTGCCAACAATGTCTTGTTCTTCTGTTGCGGCTTTTATGCCAAAGATCTTGATATATACATAGAGATCATGTATATTGTACGGCTACTGTCTGCCAACTATGTCTTGTTCTTCTGTTGCGGCTTTTATGCCAAAGATCTTGATATATACATAGAGATCATGTATATTGTACGGCTACTGTCTGCCAACAATGTCTTGTTCTTCTGTTGCGGCTTTTATACCAAAGATCTTGATATATACATAGAGATCATGTATATTGTACGGCTACTGTCTGCCAACAAAGTCTTGTTCTTCTGTTGCGGCTTTTATGCCAAAGATCTTGATATATACATAGAGATCATGTATATTGTACGGCTACTGTCTGCCAACTATGTCTTGTTTTTCTGTTGCGGCTTTTATGCCAAAGATCTTGATATATACATAGAGATCATGTATATTGTACGGCTACTGTCTGCCAACAATGTCTTGTTCTTCTGTTGCGGCTTTTATACCAAAGATCTTGATATATACACAGAGATCATGTATATTGTACGGCTACTGTCTGCCAACAATGTCTTGTTCTTCTGTTGCGGCTTTTATACCAAAGATCTTGATATATACATAGAGATCATGTATATTGTACGGCTACTGTCTGCCAACAATGTGTTGCTGATATGTTGCGGCTTTTATACCGAAGATCTTGATATATACATAGAGATCATGTATATTGTACGGCTACTGTCTGCCAACAATGTCTTGTTCTTCTGTTGCGGCTTTTATACCGAAGATCTTGATATATACATAGAGATCATGTATATTGTACGGCTACTGTCTGCCAACAATGTCTTGTTCTTCTGTTGCGGCTTTTATACCGAAGATCTTGATATATACATAGAGATCATGTATATTGTACGGCTACTGTCTGCCAACAATGTGTTGCTGATATGTTGCGGCTTTTATGCCAAAGATCTTGATATATACATAGAGATCATGTATATTGTACGGCTACTGTCTGCCAACAATGTGTTGCTGATATGTTGCGGCTTTTATGCCAAAGATCTTGATATATACATAGAGATCATGTATATTGTACGGCTACTGTCTGCCAACAATGTGTTGCTGATATGTTGCGGCTTTTATGCCAAAGATCTTGATATATACATAGAGATCATGTATATTGTACGGCTACTGTCTGCCAACAATGTGTTGCTGATATGTTGCGGCTTTTATGCCGAAGATCTTGATATATACATAGAGATCATGTATATTGTACGGCTACTGTCTGCCAACAATGTGTTGCTGATATGTTGCGGCTTTTATACCGAAGATCTTGATATATACATAGAGATCATGTATATTGTACGGCTACTGTCTGCCAACAATGTCTTGTTCTTCTGTTGCGGTTTTTATACCAAAGATCTTGATATATACATAGAGATCATGTATATTGTACGGCTACTGTCTGCCAACAATGTGTTGCTGATATGTTGCGGCTTTTATACCGAAGATCTTGATATATACATAGAGATCATGTATATTGT